ATCTTACGCTGAGCAGGAATACCTCGGGCCCAAACTAACAAAGGCGATCACAGGCACGTGCATGTACATCGAGATTACAAGATCTTAAGCAGAAACTGGACGTAGAGCTGAACGTGGTCCGCACGTCCCATGCCCAATGCACTTTAAGCCTGCATGTACAATCCACGTTTGTGTTCCCCTTTGGAACCACAAGTAGGCCAAAATAATGTTCCCTGTCATGTTCCTGCTTGGACAGGTTTTGAACTGAACAAAGGGTAATGGTAGCATTTTAAGACCGTTGGTCTTTTAACACACACATATGGCATTACACATCTAGTGTGGAACAGTACAATTAGCATCCTACGATATTTTTGTGCTTAAGCTTAAAAAATAACCAAATGATTTGTGGCACTGGACAGCAGACAACACACATGGAAGAGAAATAACTCAAAATCTCACAGAAGAGCCATCACTTACGATTTTCTTTCTTGAAAGAACCGCTGTCCAAATCGCTGTGCTGCACTTGACCTCCACGTCGGCATTGTCTTCCTGAGCTTAGGGTGGAGCACCTCCGGCAAGCTGCCATTCTTCTATTCTCTGTCAGCTGCTGAGTAATTTTGGCAATTTCATCAAATATCTTTTCTGGAAAATAAATTTGGGTAATCAAAGGTAATTAAGGCATTTGAACCGCAACTTAATGAGTGAAACTGCAGAGGTGATAAGCTGAGCAGTTTCTTCATTATAACTTACATAAAAAAAAGTTAATAAAAGTGAATTTTTGGCAGAGCTAAGACGGCCAAATAAATGTTTCTTAGCTCACACCTATTACAAGACACATTAAAAAAGCTGTGATGCCTTAAATTGAACAGCAACAGACTCCATTTCAGTAAATATACAAACTGCTGTACTATACAAGCTATACAAACTGCAGTCTATATCAACTTGCCACAAAGGAACACTGAAAATTACAATTTTTTTAACGATATTGCAACAACTCACCAAGGACAAATGGAGTGCTCATTTTCCTGAGATGAAGGTCGATGTAACACAGTGAACATGTTTGACATAAACCTGAAGCTTGCTGAATTTCAAAAAGACTTTGATTCACCACACGCGTACGCTTTCTCCACAGTGATCAACAAGTTAAATGATAGCTGTATCGTCAATTTTTCGAACAAAAGTTCCAAAGCCTAACTGTATTGAGAAGGATAGTCTGCAAGAAACAAATTAATGACAATACCAATGTTGGCCTATCTGTTTCGACTAATGTGTTTAATCATCCCCCTGACTGGCATTTTTTATAGGCCTAGGTACTACCAGCATAAGTTAATTAATTAATGCCAGCACAAATAACCAAAATCCTGAATTAACGAAGGCCTATATATAGCCGCTTTTATCCTAGGGCAAAGATCCCGCCTCAACACAATGACACAATGAATGGGGCATGTACTTGGCCAGCTCACGCGATACCGTTAGATATTTGCACACCATGCACAAGTGCAAAAAACACTGGGACCTAGCATGCACTTGATTAAGATTAATAACTAACTCGCACGGTCAAGCGTGTCGTGCTTCCAGTCATGACAATGGACGTAGTAGTAGTACTAGTGTGCATGTACATGTACATGTTTGTCCACGTAGGCTACATGTACATTTGCGCAGCGTTTGCCACATACTTTTATCCTATCTTCAGTTCAGTTGCACGTCGTGGTTTCCATGGGAAATCTGTTCATTGCCCAATAGGCCTAATGCTCTTTATCCTAAACAAACATACACAAGGTATTACTAGTATTAATTTAACTTTTTTGGCAGAAATCGTGTACACAAGAAGATCAGTACAAAGAACGAATTCTGAATCTTGAGGTTTCGAAAATTAAGAAGGCAATGGGCAGGTTCCCCACTTCCCCCGTGGTCGGCACTGCCCATAAAAGTGCTGACTACAGGTCAAGGACCAAGATCACTCCTCTTGTTTCAGCCAATAAGAATGCTTCAAATTCCGGCAAGATTTTCAACGAGAAAACAAAATAGCCATTTAATTCTAATCCACTTTCAAGAACAATTTTGTTATTATAACAATAATTTAAAAAGAAATCAAAAGTTTTACTGTTTCACGGGTGCAAGGAATCGGTTGTGAAATATTGTTGAGAAGTCACATATGACCAACATCAATTTACAATCAACCAGCAAACCAGTATGGGTTCCACTTAGGATTCGTTCGGGCAGATCAAGCGTAGCTAGAAGTTACCCAAATTGCCCACTTGGGCCCAACTTGGGTCCCGTCGCAACATTTTGGCATTTGCCCACTAGTGTGAGCCCATCTGGGACCCATTATGTGCAACATGGGACCCATGTTACCCAGTCAATGCTCAATTGCCCCGGTCCTATTGTTTTGCAAGCTATATTATTCCTAAAACTAATTCAAAGTTGGGTAACATTGTATCCTTGTCAATGAACTTGTAGTTTATAGGCCTAGTTGTATCTAGTCAAAATTGCACATATTTTAAGGGTAGCTGCAAGCAATTTGTTTCAATGCGAACCTTCAAAATGCACCTTAGTGTCTTAGTTAACCTCATATTCAACTTTTGTTTCACAATTTCAGAGGGTACATTACTGCCTTTTTGATTTTTATGCTGATGAGATTTCCATATTCATGAGCAAAACTGTGAAGTCATTCCAGAAAAAAGCCACAGTGTTTTAAACACTGAGGGCGCAGCACGTGTATATCACTCATTGTGGCTGATGTTTCTGAGAACCCCTTTGAGCTTTCTGCACGTGGTGACGTCTTGATAGCCAACAGCCAACATTAATCTTCCCCAACTCCCCAATGCTCTTAGCTTTTATTCTGCTTCCTCCTAAGAAAGTTCGTTTATGAATGAAAACGTTTTCGCCATTCTGATTGGACTGTTAAGAAACCATGGACATCAAAGCAAACGTGAATTTTGTCATTACTGCGTTAGCTCAAGAGTACGAACGTGGCCCTCAGTGCTCTTGAGAATGACAAAAGACATGGGGACGTCCATCAGTCGATGAGATGTTACCTACAGTAGTGGAGACTGCTCGCAATTTTGTCGAGGGTAACAGGTTTCGTGCTCACAAGCAATGTCAAGAGGAGATTGAAACCTGACGTGGTTCAACCATTTTTCATCAGCTTAAGTCACACCTGTTCCAAGCTACCCCAGAGTTAAAAGTAGTATTCCCCATAAATCGAAGATAATACGTAAATAGTTCAGTCATGATGACGTCATCATGTGATTTATGATTAAATTTTGAATATTCCATTAAATTCGGTCGGGTAGAATATTATTCAAATCACATACCAATGTAGTCACCGTCGACATCATATTTTGTCCAATACCGATATTTTGCTTTTTTCATAATAACATTATAGAAATGTCAAATGTTATTAATTTTGCATGGATTCTACTCTTTGTTTGCTTAAAAAATATGGCTGACACCTGATCTGTGTGGGGACGTATTAGGTCATGAACTCCAGACCCGGCGGATGATGAAGTCAATGACATCACTTGACCCTTAACTCACAGATCTCACATGGCGTTTTCCAATTGAAAGCAAGAGTGGTTTCTTAGTGTTTATCACAGATTACAACTTTCTAGTCACAGTTACAAAAAGTAAAATTCAGTTTTTGCGCCAAAATGTCCAGGATAGTGCAACAGATGTCATCGACAGCGGTCCTGCACTCTCTTTCTGAATTTTTGTACACAGAAAATCTGACATGTGCAGTCAATTATTATTACGTTAGAGATTATCAAAGAATAATGTTTTTTATAATGTTATGCATATTTATGATTTTGTAAATAAGGGGGGAGTTTGCAGATCCATGTCAACGGAGAATACACTCTTTAAGGCCCTATATCTCCTGAAGTAGCTTTCCCATCCGGTCCAAATCTTGCAGACACATGTATCTTGAAAAGAGAGTGCTTTAGAGGAGTTTTGACCTTATGTGATGATGACGTCATCGGGAGAAAAAGTCACGTGATATTAAATGCACACCTTAACAGCCCTATATCTCCTGAAATAGATGTCCTATCGGGTTTTAATCTTGCAGATATCTTCAAACGCAAGGCCTTTGGAGGAAAATTAACCTCAAGTGATGATGATATTATCAGGAGACAAGTCACGTGACATTAAATGTGCAGTCTTTAAAGCTATATATCTCCTGAAGTAGCTATTCGATCAGGTTCAAATCTTGCAGATATCTTGAAAAGGGAATGTTCTAGAGGAATATTGACCTTATGTGATGGCGTCATCAGGAAACAAGTCACGTGACATTAAAGGTGCACTGCCTAAAGCCCAATATCTCCTGAAGTACATGTTCTATCAAGTTGAAACTTTGCAGATATCTTAAAAGAGGGGTGTTATATATGAAAATGACTTGATGTGATGATGCCTTAGTTGCTCAAATGTACAAAAGAATGCGAAAAAGCCTTCTGTTCTGTTAGCAAACGGACAAATAAGCTCTAATTTTTTTTACATTTTTAGGGTCCGTGTTGAAAATAAATGAGCTGCAAATCATTCGTGTAAGAATTTCAAAATAAAGATAAAACGAATTTATAAACTATATCTTTCTCAGGTAAGTGCTACTTAAAACTTGAAAATTTCTGTCTGTTTATCGCGGGACCCCGGGTTCACTGAATGCTGGACGCCATGTCTATGAAGTGCATCCAACAATGACAACATTGTTATGCATGTTGTCCTCCAGCGGCGCATGGTGCCGCGCTTCGGCGGATCTAGGGAGGCTGGAGTGCGGCGCTGTGCGACGCGTTGAAGCCGATGAATTATGTTGGACGTCGACCCATAATGGTTTTGTATACAAAAACATCCTGCATTTTTGTGTCCATTTGACTGAACTCACTGTTCCCTTCCTCACTGATTCGTTATTTTGTATGTTCAGAGCAGTAAGTAAACAAAAGCTTCACAGCACACCTTAAATTTTATTCTGTCATGATTTAAATGGAGTATTTGCATTTTAATTAAGAGGGGAATTCTTTTATTATTGGCAGGTATCTTAAATTCGTGTGGAAAATGTGGATGCTTGGACGCCGACCATTCATCGATATTGTGCCAATCCCTTTTAAAACACTGTACGGTGAGTTCAATATATTTGCAGCTTTATCTTTCCCGAATATCTGTATGAATGATTGATCAAATGATTGATCAAATATAATATAATATAATATAATATAGTAGTTGGAAAGTGCCTGTTTTGGACACACCCATCGCGCCTCCCGTCGTGCAGTCTCCACTCGTTTTGATTCGATTTTTGAAGGCTCGAAATAAAGAATTGGAAGTTTTCCTGAAGTTGGAAAAAGTGGGCTGTGGTGGAAATAGGTCTGAAGGTTTCAGATTTGCTGATTGTTTTGCGCTAGATTTTTTTCTCTTCCCAACCGGATGCGTTTGCATATCGACGTACTATAACTCAGCACCGATTCCGTTCATCCCGCATAATCTAAGTTGCGAGCGTAAGAATTCAGTGACTTGGGAACGAAAGACGAACACAAAAGTAGAGTAAGTTAACATGAAGTTTATTATTGGAACCGAGGTCTAGCTGTCACTATAAAATTGGCAGGAAAATGTTGAATTCACGGTACAATCCCCAGTTTTACATGTAATATACACGCATGAACCACACCCGTCGAAAATTTCCATATACTTGTACATACGCCGCGGTACGCCTCAAACATGACAGGCCGCAATGTACCGTGCACGCAGTACGTGGCTGGATCGGTTTTGTGCATGTAAAACACATAGATTGTGTTGCGCAGAAGTATCAAATATAACTCATGAAAGGCGAACAAAAAAATTAGCCACATAGAACTGATTGTACTATGTAGTTGAGATTCTGGTCAGTCGTATGCAGTGTCTCTCTGGAAAACTTGAGAAATTTAGTGCAAAAGACCAAGTGATCGATTGAAATGGAAATACATTGTAATTTATTACCTTAGCAACCACTTTCAGGCTAAATTTCATATTTATGTAGCATTTGTTTTCATGATTCTGCAGTGTTTTATTCGGTTTAAGCCTTCTAGAGCACAAACAAAGAGTTTCAATGTGATCGTTTGTTAATTACTTTGTGTAAACGAGGTCTTCATATGAGAAGGCTCAACAGAGGATTGCCAGGTTGTTGAGGACGTTTCTATATGGTTCACGAGGGTCCGGTCCGGTCAAGTAACCTCCGCGCACGGTCAAAGTCCTTAATTTCCACACGTTGAATTGGAATGAAACATACGTGACGATTCACTTTTGGTTCTATTCAGTTTGCAGTGACTCATTGCCACGTTGTTATTGCTTTGCAAACTAAACCCTGGTGACGCAGTGATTATTTTGTGCGAGGTTAGTCTGTCGTCACGAGTTATTTTTGGTTCTATTTAAGTTGTAGTGATTCAGTGCCACGTTAAAATTCGTCACCGTTTTCACAAAGGGACGGGCGTGTCGAATCTGAGAAAAATGATATTGTGAGATAATCGCCTTTGAAAATATTCTTACTTAAAAACCTGATAAACAAACCTAAAAATTGCATATCTCGCGATTTGTTCACATTGGATAGACTGTTCAGTGGTTAAATTGATATTAAATGTGGTTTTTTATTGAATGAATTGAATTATTCGTACAATAATAGAAAAGGACACCTGTCCCTTCGTGAAAACTCAAAAGTGTCATATTCTACTTGTGCGCCGCACACAAAGATGCCCGTCCCTTCGTGAAACCAAAAGTGGCCGAAACTTACTTCCCGCACCCCACAAAAAGATACAGTTCACGTCTCCTTGTGAAATATTTCAAATGTGATTAACGTTTGCATCGTTAGAAAGGTCCCGAATGAGCTCTGCACAAACAGATAACATATAAATTAATGCTTTTGTAGCTCATGCATACTACATAAGAGGTTAAGAACGATTAACGATTCACAATTCAATGATTTACGATTCAACAATATTTCTTACTACAGATTTCCTATATCTATTATGGCCTTTTGTATGTTCCTTTCCAACACGGATGTGCACTCACAAGAAAGGCGACAAGATCAATGCAGCAATTATACTAGAATCGTAAGGGGTTTTATTTTCATTTATTTCAATATTTTATTTCAATGGATTCATTTTCAATAAAAGGGACCAAAGAATAATTTTCATTTATTTTGATATTTCATTCAGTAAATTCATTTTCTACAAAAGGATCAAAGAATCCCTCTGCAGGAATATCAACACTTCGTGTTTCTTTTACCCCATTGGCAATATACCAACATTAAAAATAAATCTTATTTACATTGTTAAAATGGAAGTTGTTCTCCAACATTAACTGAATCGAAAATTTATACACTTGTTTACAGTTATTTTAAAAATCGTTAGGCTACCTTTTCGTTTCCCATCCAAATAATGATAACTCATCATATAAAACAGTACAACAAAACATATGTAATCGAAAGATATACTGATGTAAAGCTGTCCATGCATGTTTCAAAGAATCCCACTATGCGTGTTTATTACTCCAAATTCATAAATAACTTTGTTTAGCTCTTCCTATTGCTCGAAAGCCTTCAACGTGTCCGTGTTTAAATAGTTGATATGCCAGTTAAACAGCGAAAACGGAGCAAGCAAGCCTTCCTCTGTAGAAAAAGCAGAATTCTACCAACCAGTTGATTAAATTTCTCTCTCAAACTGATTAGCGGTACAGACAAATACAGTATCAAAGAGCAAGACAAATGCTGTTGGCATCTCAGACCTAACGGGCTTTCTTTAAAGAGAAATTCCTGCCAAACATTTCCATTTATTTTATTCGTCTTTTCAACCCCCCCCAAATAATTTGATAATTTGAGTAAGAGCTGGAGTCAGCTGACGAAATCTTCAGCAAAAATCCCCTCAGTCCACACAGAATGGACGGTATTTTTGAATCACTAATCGTAAAACGCCAAAGATGAGGCCAACATGCCTATCTTTATACAAAATAATTGTACCAATCCATCTCCGTCAAAATGAGTGGCAGTAAAAAAATCCAAATTGAAAAATGCTGACAGCATCTTAGACCTGGATTGCATTATCTTCCAAAAGTGAAATTTCATGAAAACAACATTTCCATTTATTTTACAAGGTAACAGTCTTTAAATCTCCCACAAATAATCTCATAATTACTAAGAGCTGAGGTCAGCCAAAATAGTCTTAATTTCTATTTTTCACTACTCAGTTTTGACGGTATAGGTATATTAGTTCAACCGTAAAAATGACTTACACGAGTTACTTTACATGAAAAAGTCAAAACAGTGACGAAGACAAAATCCACTATTAACAGAAAGAAGAATGCTGCTGCGGTATCTCAGACCAGGCAAGCATTTTCAATACAGGATAAGAATTCAAGCGGACACTTTAAATTGTTTGAGCACCTTTATTTAAGTTTTTGTTTCCATGAAACCGAAAGCATTTTGAAAAGTTGATGTGCATGATAACTGAAATTTGTGAGCATGTGTATCTAGAACAAACCAGCGTAGGTCTGTGTATCGCTAGGCACTAATGTGACTGTTAATTACTTTCAGCTAAAATTATGTCAAAATATGCAGTGTAATGATAGCTACGTTTAAGATTAACGAGGATGGAGTGGAAGTCGACGATAAAAGGATTGGTAGTCAGTGGATGTGAGATGAGTGGAGTTGGTCCGGAGCAGAGGCTTAGCAGATCTTCAAACTTGTCGTATAACAGCTTTGGAGACTGAGGTGTGTAAAGAGGCTCTGGTGCCTGACTGTCAAAAGTCGCTGTGTGGCGACGACTGTTCCTTATGTCGACTATTGAAAATGCAGGATCTGTATGAGAGCAAATCTGCTCTTTTTCACGTTTGTCAACCTGAACCTACTTGAACTTGGTCCATTCAACTTTTTGCCATCCTCTGAGAACCTCACTCGTAAAATATCAAGCCTTTGGCTGTATGATTTCCAGTCTTGAACATCAGTAATGACACTGAAACTACATGATAAGGTGTTGGATTTTTTTTTGCCATCTTGATGACTGAGAGCGGCTGTGAAGGAACTCATATTTCTCCCACTCGTGACAATGCTTATTCCATAGTACTGTGGATGGTATCTCCCTCGATTGTCCATGGTTCACTTTAAAAAGGGAAGAGTAACCCTTTGAACTGATTTCGAGTTGTTCACAAAGTATATCATCATCATGGCAGGCACAATCGATCTCTTATTTTGACCAAAGCAACCATCAGCTAAAAGATCAACAGCTCTGATGCCCTGTGCGTCGACTTGCTTCAAAAACGAATGAACATACGATGCAAGCTCACAGAAGCCACGACCTGTTTGTCCCTCATGAGAAACATGACAATACCCAAATTATATTTTGTGAAATTGAAACAACTCAAACGTCGCTTTTAAAACAACTCTGATCTATTTGACCTCGGGAGGTAGATAACTTGTTCAAGGTCAAACACGGCTTCAGAGTGCTGATCTTATTTAGTGGCTTTATCTTTCGCATACAAGTACTTTCAACTCAGGGACGTTTTCTTCGTCTTGCATGTGTCAATCATATTCTGTTTTGAGCTCTTGCTTTTTGTCTTCGGAACTAGTCCCATGTGTGCTACGAATACCGCACATGTCTTTTTTTGGTTGATGACATTTAAGGTTGAGAGGCTTTAGAACCTTTTTATAATACGACAATGAGGCCCCTGGGGTGATCCTTCTTATACATTGTAAACGTGATTTAAGTATTCAGTTCAGACGAAACAGTGTGGTGGTTGTCTGATCCTCCGTCTAGCTCCAGTTCGAAAGTGAGTTTAGCCGTGCCCGGCAGTTACCTTGCGTATCGATTTGCTTAAACTCTTTATATTTGAAAAAACAAGGAAAGCAAGAAAAGCATTGACAAGGTAGACAAAGACAAGGTGAACAAGGAACAGAACAAGGAAAACAAGTTAAACATGGACAAAGAGAAAGAACTGTTTTGCTTCTTTTATAGTCTTAAAGGCTACTTGAAAGGCTAAAGCACTATGAAGCACTTGCCCAAAAAAACCGGCTTCGATTAGAGCGCGGTGAGAACGTGTTAAGAAAACTACGGAGCTCTGGAGGTGCCGTCCGACTTGTTGAGATCCTGACATGTTTTTCTGGGGATGACGACATAATAAAGACAAGATGTCGACATCCTGAGATAATTTATCACGGGATGACAATATCATAAATGTTGGGTGATGACAATCTCAGATAATTTATCATAGGATGACAACATCGTAAAAGTTGGATGATGAGATTTCTTATTGGTTTATTTAAATCAATCATTCCATGACATCCTCAGATAATGACGATAATCATTAGATGAGGATGTCATCATCCAGAGACATCTACCAAGTGTGATGTCTACCTAACAACCTGTAACAGGCGGTGAGACATCATCTAAATAATATCATGTATGGCAACAGGACGATGCTTTGAAAACTCTACCATCTCAGGCCACCTGTTTTCGAGGTGGTTTGTCAAGGTACCCATTGATAAATAATGTCGTCAAATCACTTTTACGATGTCGTCATCCAAGGATAAATTAACTCATCATGTAGTCATCCAACTTTTAGGATATTGTCATCCCATCCCATAAATTATCGCGGGATGTTGTCATTTCCATTACAGGATGTCTTCATCCTACGATAAAACATTTCATTGTCTCGCCATATTGCCCGTAATATGTCATCATCGTGAGACAAAATATGTCAGGATCTCGACAAGTCGACTGACACTTCCAGAATTCCGTAGATCAGACTGTGTGGCAAATTTATCTGCCTGCCACGGGGTATATACATGTACTTTACAAAAACTTTCAAATACATGTTTTAACGGTTGTTAACGTTGCTTCTAGATACACTAAAGGACACGGAGTTACCCTCCAGATCTGCTACGGTTTGAGCTTGAATTCTGTTGTGAGCGTAAGCTAAAGTGTACACACTGTTTGGTAACAAGAACCATTTAGTATCCAGAGGACTCAGAGGTAATTTGTTTTGATTCATGGTTTAAAGGAGAAGTTTTTCGGACCGAAATAAACATTGTTGAAAGAACTTTAGTTCTCACAGGAACAAGTAGCTTTTGTAATCCTAGTGTCTGATTTGTTTGCTCGTAACGACTTTAGTGACGTCTTTTGTTTTTTAAACGTTGGGATGATAACTGTTAAGATGGAATACATCTTAGGTCGGATGCACACACACTCAGACACGAGTTTACAGCCAAACTCATCTTAGAATTTACCAATGACCTTTTTTGTTTTGGGGATCGTATAGCGGATGCTCGGGTGAGTAGTTGGAAAAATCCAGATTGCCTTTGATTTGTTTCAAGTCTGCGTACACGTCTACGGTAAACACCGCGATAAACAAAGAATCGGTGTCTGTATACAGCAAGCGCACTCTGTCTTGATAGTCGCGTTTTAGTTGCATGTAATAAAACTTGTACCTGAACGTTCTAGATACATCGAGAATACTAACGCCGCGATAGATCGGCTTGTTAAGCGTGGTTTTGTTCTGTACATTTCGACAAACAACAACTGACACTCTGGGAGAGCCGTGGTTGTTTTGTAACTGGGTTGCAAAAACAGACGCTTGAACTTGCTGGCGTCTTTTTTTTGTCGCGAAATAAATAACCGTTGACCCGACTTCTCACGTTCTCCATCGATTCCCCCCCCCAAAAAAATGTTGTTCATGATTAAAAAAAAGTCTTTCGCAAAGTCAGAGTTGGCTGGATGCGAAGTTAAGTATTTTTATCTGTATGATTGCAAGGCTTTTGCTTATACGCCAAGACGCAATGTACTTTTTGTAGTGTGAGTCCAAGACGCAAGTACAGTTGGAGCGTAAGATGGTGCACCACATACTCGCTCTTAGGTAGAAGCGTACACGTAAGCTTATCGACTGTAGCTGTTAGTTCTGTGAGTTTGCGGTCCAGAAGGTCTCGTTGATACTCAGAAAACCAATCTGTGGGTATCTTAAAGTTCTCCGGAGCTAAAGGAAAGTCGTTGTGCAAATTGTGGAGGTCTTGAGGATAGTCCAGGTCCACTTCGAGTAAATAGCCGGTGTCTGATTTTAAAGAGAGCGACAACACGTGCTCTGTGGTAAACTCGTCTGGTTTGTTTGACCCAGCAAAATCTTCGGTAAGGCAATGGTAGCGACACTGCCCACCTGTGTAAGTTGTTGGTGTCTAGGTACAACAGATACGACGGGGGGACACTTGAAATACCACCTCGTTTAGCTCGTTCAAAAAATAAGTGCTCGTCGACGTCCGTGAGTAGCTCTAGCTCGACGCGAGAGCTTTTCAGCAAAGGGTCCCAAGACAGACCGGGTGCCACATATTTTGGCTGGATCGAGACCATAATTCACTCGACACACCTTGCGGAACTTTTCAAACACGCCAGCGAGTAACAACGTGTCTTTTTCTACATAGAGGTCGTGGTAGTCGCGAAAGGTCTTACAATCAAAAGTGTTCCAAACTCGTTTGGATCTGGCGTAGTCTTTCTTACTGATGGTTTCTTGTTGGAAGCTGCTATAAAATTCTGTTTGCGGTGGTATCTGCGTCTCTTTAAACTTTTCAAACGAGTTTATGTACCAGTATTCGTAAGGGTAAACGTTTTGGTAAAAGAAGCTCTTTGCGCTCAGCGAAACATTTTTCGAGTAAAAAAAAAGCGTAACGAGGACAGTCTTTGATCAACTTCTCGAGCGAAGTTGCCATCAAGTGAAACGAGTCGATGACCCTGAATTGGCCTTACTTATGTACTTTTCGAAGTTTTTAGCAATACAACAGAGTTTGCCTAGGTTGAAAGTAGAAGCGCCTTGCATAATCAAGTGGGCATCGTAGTTTTCTAAATTGTGTAACACGACTGGAATAGCTGTCTGTTTTGAGATTGCGGCAGGCGTAGACAGCGCCTCTGAACTTGCCCGTCACGTGACAGTGATCTCTGCCCTTTCTAAAAAAATTGTTGAAGCGATATTTACAATACAGAGAAAGGTACTCCGTGTGTCCTTTGCGGTTTTTAAAAGAAAACTCTTCTTTCTTTGCTTCTGGTCGGTTCTTCGGGTATTAGACATTGACAGTTGTAAGGATGGTTTGGATAGAAGAGCTTTTCGCAAATCCAACAGTGGCAAAATACTTTTGTACTTCTGGAGTCCAAGACAGTGGCTTAGGGTTAGCAGGCAAGGCGTTGATTTCATCTTTTTCTTTGGTTAGAGACTATATGAATCTTGTTGAAAAGCCCGGGCCTCTATAGATCTCTCGGCTCGTGAAGACACCGTCACATCGAACTAAGGCATAAGAAAAACCAGACAGCTTACATGCTTGTGTGTTTTGTTGTTGCTGTTTTTGTAGTAGAGGGGCTTTAGATGTCTTCTGCCTTTTTCAAAATAGATTCGAAATCAGCGTAGATCACGAAGGGAGCGTCTTGTTTATTTTCCAACAATATTGGGAGGTTTTGACGTTACTGAGAAATAGTAAGTTCACAGGTTCTTTGTCTAAACACTGTTTAGATAGGTAGAGGGGAAACACACCGTCTTTGGACTCATAACCAAATACGTTGATCTCTGAATTGTTCTGGGTATCTAAACGAGGGACTAGAGACTCCGGTGTAGGAAAATCGACGTTTGAGAATTCTAGCCCGTCAGACTGTGCATATGCGAAGGTTTTTCTTCATGAAGTTTATAGTTTGGGTTGTTTTGGATTTGGGTTTTGACTTTGTCTTTGTAGAGTCCCGGAGGCGCTCTTAAAGACCAGCGGAAACATTGTTGATTTTTGTTTTGTATCACTTTTTAAAGTTGTAAACACTTGGGGAGCGGTACGTAAGAACTCCCTCTTAATTAACGGTTGATATCGCGTCACGTTGATATAAAACGAAACGATAATGTCTAGATTCCAACCGATCTACGATTAAACTCACCGATTTTCTGTAACAGTTCTTCTTATTGCTCTTCCAACGTATGTTTTGCCTCTAGAGTATTTAACACGACGGTATTCAATTACTTTGGAATGTAAATGTTTCTGCAACGGTGTCTTCTTGTCTTTCTTTGATCAACTGGACTTTTATCTCTGTTTGTAGTTTGATGCCACCCAACCCCCTCAACTCAGACTTGACTTTTGGCTGATAGCAGCAAAGAGTAGTCTCTTGTGAGATTTTGTTTGTACAACTTTTGTTGGAACTCTTAATGCTCTTTTTATTGATATTTAAAAACAAGGAAAGACTACAGGAACACATGTTCCGATCAAGAATTAGAATACTCCATTCATTTTACAGGGGTTCCCATCGGCGGGATAGGCTGTGGGGCAATCAACAGAGGTTGGAAGGGTGAGTTCTGTCGATGGTCCCTCACACCGGGTATATACACCTACAACGTAGTGGAAGTGAACCAGGTAAGCTGAGACGTGAATGGGGAGTATTCGTCTTTTCTTTTAATTGGGCAGTTCCATGCCAGTAACATAGCCGTCAAAATTTCGTTTCATTTTTCATTTTTTTGCACTTTAACTGTAGAGAGAAACCCTTATGAATGTGAATTGGCATCATTGAAAATCACTGGGATAACTTTTCATCATTTTATAATGTGCCAAAAATGTCAACAAAATTCAGAAATTCTTTCTTATGCATAAAAAGATAAAATATTTTTGGAATGCAACTTTTTATTACTAAGCGAAAGAATCCCATATTTAAAATAAATTCTTATCCACAAGTTAGAATTGGTTAGCTACAAAAATTAATAATCATTTTGGGGGAGGGTCAGGATTTGAGAGCAGTTCACATTTACCATGTAAAAATCCACTGACGTGCAACAGTGGAATACACCACTAATTTCTTGGCTGTCAAAGCAGTTATTTATGATTTCATAATAAATGTGAGGAGCATGTGATGCCAAGGGAAACGTTTCGCTCGTATTTTTATCATGATCCTGCCGGCTCTCACAGATGTCAAGTAGTTCCGGTGTGAATAAAATGGCATTTTATTGGCCTTATTCTTCATACAAAATCTTCACTTGTTTTTATTTTTTCTGTGTGTGAAAATTAAATGCTTTCAGAATAAAACGTCGTAATTCATTCATTGCTTGTAAGCATTTAAATTGCATAAATGTTTGAACGACCCAAAGGGAAATAGGGCAAGATACCAAATGACAAAAGGGAAAAGGGCTACATATTATGACATTTCAACTCAGACTTGCTAATTTAAATTTACTGTAAACACCTGATTAGAAAATACGCATGTGCAGTCTGTGAAAATTCAATGGTTATGGACACTCTGCAGTGAAAACTTTACATTTTACAATGTGTAGGCCTATACTCAGAAATTGATGAAGGTGAATCTGACTTTAAATTTGCGCAATCTGTTACTGATTAAGTAAAAACAATGACATTGGAGAAACGGTAAAGGGGCAAAATCCACCCTAGTAGCTACCACGCCCTTACAATGAGCTTACATGTACAGTACATCCCTTGTCCACTCTTAATTGCTTATATTCTCGTTGTGTCATCCTATCTTTGACACACCACCTCTGGCTGCAAATCACTTTGATGGTGAAATCAAATTTGCTCAGCCAAGCACTTGATATTCATGAATAACCTCCAGCCAAGCTCGTGGTGCATGGCATGGTGTGATGTCATCCCCATGTGGTCAAGGAACGGGCTAGGCAACAAGGCACGGTCAAAGTACAAAAGGCCATAAATTCTTTTGTGTACATGGGATATGCATGATAATGCAAGTGGGCTTTGGGGATTTACGTTGCCAATGAACAAAGCACATTTCGGTGTGCAGTATTTTCACTTTTCTGCATTTTTGGAAAAGCAGGTGCCCAAATTGTTTGTACAGGAAGGACCTACGTATTTGAATGAAATATCATGCTTGAGTGCACAATTAAGGCATGGAATATCAATTTAGGTTTAATGCACAAGGTGTTTCCTTCATTGTTTTCTAAATTTTGAACTTAGCTCTATCCTGCCATTCACGACCAGTCTTTTTCTTTTTGGTCTGGTCTATACCCAGCAAGATATGGGACGGAGGGGTACCCCCCCCCCACATGTCCAATCCCTATACGCCATAGAGTATTGTTAACTACCAGATGCCCCCTAGATGTCTGAAAAGAATTCCTGATATTCCAATCAAACGATGACAAAAAGGTGCGGGGGGGCCCTGCTCTCCGTCCCCTATCTTGCTTCATGATCCACATGATGCAAGATATGTGGCAAATGGGGACCCCCTCTAGCTGTTGTGTCTTCTTTTGTGTTGGTGGAATCTTGGGAATTCCTTTCAGATTTCCGAGGGGGTGCAGTAGGCACTATAGCCTTAGAGTATAAAACTTGTGCATCACATAAGGGGGGTCCCCTTTCCCACATATCACGCCGGGTATCTCATGGGCATATGCAGCAAGGTATGAGACAGAGAGAACCCCCCTGCTTTGTGTTGGTCATTGTCTCGCAGGAATCTGGGGAATTCCTTTCAGACATCTTGGGGGATGTGTTAAATAACAATAGTCTGAAATGTGTATAGGGATTGGACATGTTGGGGGGGGTACCCCTCGGTCTCATTTCTTGCTGGGTATACTCATGGGTAGGTCTCTCTGCCCACAGTTTATAGTCAGGATCCAGAGGCCCAATCAGCCAGTGTACCAACAGGTCTTGTACCCCGGAAAAGTTTCCAACAAGCACCTCACTCAGTCCTGGCAGTGGCATTTCCCTGGTGATCGAGCTCACTACCACGGCCTGTATCCACGAGCATGGACTGTGTACAGGATACCAGAGCAAGATGTCACACTTGTGTGTCGGCAGGTCTCATCCGTATTTCCAAATGATTATAAGGTTGGTCCTCAGTTATTACTGAGAAACATTCTCTGGTCATGAGCTATCTATGAGGGTAATTTTCTACCCTCATGTTCCTGTTGAACATATCCACATGCAATCAATCCTTTGTAAATTCGTGAGATGTGCATGGTGAACTGAAAAAAAATGTGGTCTGAGTCTTCAGGTTTTACTCATTTTCTCATTTTCATTCATTTACTCATTCATTCATTCATTTACTCATTTTCTTTCAGTCCTAATAGTCCTGTGACTTCTGAATATCTTTGTGTCTTTCTATGTCTTTATTCTTTGTTGTTAAATTTAGGACATCAGACTATGTTTCCAGGTCTACCAAAATGTTTATGTAGATTAATCTGTTTCTGTGCTTATTCCATCTCTACCATCAGGACACCTGTCTTCCTGTGGGTGTGTTTGTTTGGGAGGTCGATAATCATGCTTCAACCCCGGTCGATGTCAGTATCATGTTCACGTGGCAGAACGGGATTGGTGCACCGAGCGATAAAAACGGAAGCCGTTGGAATGAAGGGTTCTGCAACAAGGATACGGAAGGTTCCTGTGAGGGTGTGTTGCTGCATGATGACAAGTCCTCCATGAGATGCACCATGGCTGTAGCTGCAGCCAATCAGGTAAGATTTACTTATCTAAAACAAGGTCTGCTAACAGTGTTTGGCCTGGTTAAGGGATCTGAGAGCTCATTTTAGAATTGTTTGTTTTATTGTATCTACTATATGTGCCCAGGAGGGAGTCAAGGTCTCATACTGTACAGATTTTGATCCTAACACCAGTGCTGATGAAATTTGGGAGGACTTACTGGAAGATGGGCATCTTAACTCCTCAGCAGGTGAATATGATATGTGTCTGAATTCTTGGGTTCTACCAACAATTACTCGTGTGCCACTAGAAGTGACTATAAGCTAGCTTGTGGATGGAGCCTCTTGTAGCCTGTATGTGAAATTTCATTGATGAATTCTATGTGTAACTGTGTCGACAGTGAAAAGAAATATAGATAACTGGAAGAAATGGGGATTATTGTTGGATTCTAAGTGCAAGTGCCTCTCCACAGTGCCAACTTACGAGACGGAGGAGGGTGAGCTGACAGCAGCAGCAGTCTGTGCATCTGATCGAGTGGCCAAGAAGAGTCGAGGAAAGATGGAGTTTGTCCTGGCCTGGGACATGCCCCGCATTCATTTTAAGGGCAACGGCCACTCCTACAACAGGTACAATGATGTCAATTCACCTTAACAGATATATACACCTTGAAAGGCTGAAACTGAGTGCTAACAGTGTGTGTAAAGAAGCCATGGTGTCATGATATTATGGAGAGAGTGATAATCCTAGTGATAGGGCACTCATTTCGGTCTTCTGCAGACTTTGTCAGGTTTAAAAAGAAATGGAGGGTAAGGATTTTGATGGCATTTGGTTTTACTATTCACTGACAAAAATAGAGTTCTGTATGTTTACTACTTTTGGAAGCTTGTGAGGAAAATATTACAGAACTTGATTAAAAGCTGTATATGGCTACCCACTTTGCTACTCGGCTCACAGAGGCTACTTGTGAGTTCAGTTGAATATATTTATGAATGTCTTTACAGGCGCTACACACGCTGGTTTGGTCACGACGGCAAGGCGGCTATCAAACTGTGCAGCTATGCTCTACGCAGCTACAGCCGTTGGGAGAAGGCAATAGAGTCCTGGCAGAAACCGATCCTTGATGAAGAGTATGTTATCCTATGCCAGATTGTGAGGAGCGCGATTTGATTTCACAAGGGCGTAGCTCTGCAGGTTTAATTTGAGCGGGGGAATTAAGCAGTGGGCCGTTCTTAACTAAATATTGTATTTTCCATCATGTGTTTGTCACTTCAGATCTTACCCAGCTTGGTACAAGTCTGCGTTGTTCAATGAGCTGTATTTCATGACAGATGGTGGCTCCATCTGGGTTGAATCGCAGGAAGACCAAGCTAGCAGTAGTGCAGGGGACAGGACGCAAGACCCATCTTCTAGAATAGCCAAACTCAAAAAGGACATGGGCATGTTTGCCTACCTTGAGGGTAAGTGATCTGGACTGGAAGGTCTAATGACAGGTGGTCGGACTATGTACATTTCAGATCTTGTGGAAGGTCACAGAGATTACACATAAAGCCCAAGTTTGCGTTACTGAGTCTACGACTTGGCATATTTTGACATTTTGGACACAGAGGTTTTGCAGAAACTTTCTTTTTGATATTGGACATTTTTGTTTTCAGGTCATGAGTACAGAATGTTCAACACATATGACGTTCATTTCTATGCGTCCTTTGCCCTGACCATGTTGTGGCCACAACTTCAGTTATGTTTCCAAGACTTTATTGGTGAGATTTTGATTCATCACAGAGAAGGTCAATACCAGTTAATAGGGTCATATTTTCCTTCAAGCTTTTCTGCCTAAAATTGAGAGGAAATTCGTTGTATCTTTACTGAAAAGACAATTTTTTTTCTCTTGCAAGTCGAGAGAGGACGTCTTTGGCAATAAACATTAGTTTCCAAACAGTAGTAGATTGGAGGGCTTTAAAAAATTACTTTGCAAGAAATTTGCTACTGGAGTAGGCTTAAGGACTGCTTTGTCTTTCGACTGAAGGTGATTTACATTGTCAAGGGTCACTGTTTGCCGATTCCAACAATATTTTGGATTATAGTTTTTATGTGCCTGAAGGTACTTTTTGTGTAGGTATGTAGAATTTCAGTAGTTGTAGTTTTCTCTCCCCCTAGGGACTTGTGTCCATGCAACAGATGACGAATCCTATTACCAGATAGCCAGTGGCCAACCAGCCAAACGGAAGCTGGCTAACTGTGTACCACATGACATTGGAGATCCTGGTAGGTTCTACAGGTTTTGGCTGTCACTCTTCTGTCTGCAAATGGTCATTTTGCCAAAGGACCAGGCAGTTTTAATGTTTTTCCAGTTATGGACATTGCTAGCAGCATTTGATAGCAGCCAGTGCTGTTAGCTGTTCTGCAGCTATATTTTATTTTGTTTGAGATCGAAACCTCATATTTTGTTTCTGCTGTTCTCACTTGACATAGAGGAGGAACCATGGAAACGAATCAACGGTTACTACCAGCATGATACCTGCAAGTGGAAAGACCTAAACCTCAAGTTTGTCCTGATTACTTTCCGGGACTTCTACCAAATCCAAGACCTCGCATTTCTCAGGGAGATGTACCCAAAGTGCAAGGTATAGAACGAGGAACAGTATCAGTCGCACACCAAATTTGTCCAGCAAGATATATAAAGTGTACAAAAGAATTTTTTGTTTTGACTGTAGGCTGTCATGGAAACAGCCAAGCTACAAGACATTGACGACGATGGTTTGATTGACAATTCTGGTACAGCTGATCAGACTTACGATTCCTGGGCCATGACAGGAGCAAGGTTGGACTGTTCTTCTCACTTCTGTAACCTTATTGCCACTAAAATTTCTAGTTCTAATCTCCAGCTAAATTCTAGCTCTTGTGATTAAAGCGTTGATCCACAGTAATCAGACGTTTTGAAATTTCAGAATTATTTTAATTGATGAGTGGAAGTTATTACTTTTGTTTCTTTTCATTGTCGTGAAGTTTCTTTCTAAAGGTACCGTACGTCATCCCTGTTGTTACTTGTAACCGGTTTTGAAGAATAGAGCACCTGTCCCGTGTTGAATTGGAGCTTACTTCTGTTGTTGATTCCCTTGGTAGTGCATACTGCGGTGGATTGTGGTTAGCTGCCCTGCGTTGTATGGTGGAAATGGCTCACATTCTAGGCCATGAGGACACCGATGCCTCCGAATATTCCGCACTACTAGACAAGGGCCGGAAGTCTTATGAAGACAAACTCTGGAATGGTAGAGGCTGAAGTTTCACATCTTGTCTTCTATAACTTGAATTTCATTTTCCAATGTCATTAAGCTTTCTTATTCATCAAAGCACTGCATGATTACTTATTCCACTTTAAAATCATCCATTCCCCAGTTCTTTAAGCTCTAAAGATACTTCCAGACGAAACCTCAGTTTTGTATCTGTCACAAACAATAAAAACAAAGTGATCTTTCAATGTTCAAAACCCTTTGTCCAGGCAAGTATTACAACTATGATAGCAACAGCAAGACCTGCATGGCTGACCAGACCGCTGGCCAGTGGTACTTGAGGGCTTGCAATCTGACCAAAGACCGGTCAGGTGTGGACATCTTCCCCACAGACCATGTGCTTAGTGCACTCGAGACTATCTACCAGAAGAATGTCTTGCCCTTCAGGGAGGGGCTGCTCGGGGCCACAAATGGGGTGAAACCTAACGGGAAAATCGACTACTCTGCCAGCTTACAGTGTGAGGAGGTGTGGACTGGGGTGACGTATGGCCTAGCTGCTCACATGATCCAAGAGGTATAAACTAGGGATGAACCGTCCCAGGCCTAGATTGTTCCAGGCTTCCAGTAGGTCACTTTCACAGCAACACCAGCACCAAAAGAACAATAGTGCGGAAAATTTATCAGTTGTAACAGCCCCAATTGAAATTTTCATGAAAAAAAAATAATGGGATACTTCGTGTTTTACAAACAATCCTTTATCTTGGTTAAACGTGGTCAACTCTGATAAATCTGCATCACTGAATACAACCACAGGTTTGGAAGACATTGCATGGCTAAAGATGTCAGTTGGTCGGTATTAATGTACCTTTGACAGCTTGCTTGGACATCTCTTGAAATTTTTACCATGAATAAATCACTGGCTTCCTACACAGTGGAGGATTTGGAAGGAATTAGGAAGTTTAACCTTCATCATATCTTTTCATAAAGGTTTTTCACGTGACGTAACATGATGGCAGAGGAATTTTAGGAAGTGTACCATGACAATGGAGGTGCTTGTATTTTCCAATCTGTGTATTTCTATTGGCAATTTTGTGTACACCAGAATGTTGCGAGACGTCAAAGGCGAGCACGTTTCAGTGCACATCTATGTAAATTGAATGTTGACTGCCAAACATTCCTGTGACTGAGAATATATTCATATCTCTTCTAAACCATAGGGACTGGTGAAAAAAGGCTTTCAAACAGCCAGTGGGATCTACCACACCTGCTACAATCGAGCAGGCTTGGGTTTCCAGACTCCAGAAGCAATCTTGGAGACGCAACACTTCCGGTCCACGGGCTACATGCGCCCTCTAGCCATCTGGGCCATGCAGTGGGCCCTGGAGAACCGTCACAACAGGGCAGCGTCCGAGGACACCACAAATTAAAGTCTGGCAAACCAGATATACAACCAACAGGCCTAGGGATGAATGAAACGACCATTTTAGTATTACTTGTGCACACTGGTGGGTATTTGTCAGTGAGGTAATATACATTTTGTAGTAGGAGTGTAGTGCATACATGTACTGATATAATTCTAAAACTTAAACTGCTTCCAAATTATCGTGAAATGAAACTCTGAAATGTTCCAGTTTTTTATGATTACATCAAATGGCATTTCAAAAAGGAGTAGAACTATATTTTTTTAAAATTTAACTTAACTCTTGAAACGAGTTGTTAGGTTTCCCAAATGATCATGATTGTACACATATTTTTTACTAACTTACAGATATATATGTATTGTTTTTCATGATACATGTATACAATTTTTCCTAGAGGTAGACATTATTTTTAGCTTAAAAATAACTGAAATGTATGTGTGGTGTCTTGCCCCTTCGCCATTCCTGCCAGACTTTTATGTCATAATAATCAATCATGAAATTGCAACACTGAAATTTCGTCTTTTTGTAACAAATAAATAGCGTAGAACAAGATCTTTGATTGGCTGGTTACCTTTAAAATGAACTGTTTAAGTGTCTTAGTTACCGATTGGCCAGTTGTATGGGTACTGAGTTTCTGGTTTACTAAAATAGAAAGATTCCTGTACAAACGTTCTCGACAGGGAAAAGCATAGCAGTGTTGAGAGATTTTACAATGTTACGTGTATTCACGGTCCTGTTCTCGCGCAAAGATGGCTCTATATAACCCAGCATAAAAGGTCTCAAAATTAACAAAATCTTGCAATCGTGGTAGCATCTGAAAAAGCATGTGATCCTCTATCCATTTATATCAATATTAGCTGTAGTTGGGGGAATATCTGTAAAGGTGAAATCCCAGTACTTCGGCAAGAATCAAAACAATCTTACTTTCTCTAAGTTTTTCTTTTGACTTTTGCAGCATTACTGACATTTGTTTTAATTTTACCATCAAAAATAATTGGCAATTTTCCATTGAAATTGAATTCATTATGCAACTGCACTTGTTTATGTACAGAAATTTTGTCAGTTTTCAATTACTGGTACCATAAACCATGATTATTTGTACAACTTCTGTACAATTCTTCTGAAACTTTTGTATAATTAGCACAATCCTGATTTCATGTACAATTCGTTCCGCAGTCAACTTTAATAATGGCATCGATGGGTGGGCTCAAAATAATAACCAGCTGTTAAAATGTTGAGTGTTCTGAAATATATGTGCCTCAGAACAATTATATGTGCAGCTCCAGTGTATTAAATTGAACTGGTATGATGGTGTTTGGGCTCTACAAATGAGAAACTTTGTTAGATATTCAGACATAATATGAGTCAGTATATAGCACACTGGATTATTTGTACACCTGAAGTCAGTTAAAGATAACAAAAGAATAACATTGATATTTCCGGGCTTAAGAATGACAAAATTAAAGGTAAATATTCTGAAATATCTGCATACCCGTAAGTCCGTTTATTTAGATTCCTCTTAGCAAGGATCTTAGAAATGAATGGCCTTGTATGTTATATCGGTAGATGGCCTTAAGCCTACTGGTACCCTGGAAAATCTGTTTTCAGGAGCATTATGGCTTTTGTAGAACCTCAGTCAGGGCTGTTAACTGCGGAGACTTGTGTGGTAGTGTATCTCGAGAAATAAAGCTGTTCTACAGAATACTTCTGGGGTTAAATTATTTAAGCGTCCTGAACTTAAGTGCACGGTACGTGCTTTATCATTAGTTAGTTCCTTTCCCATTAAAAATAAGGTCTGATGCCTCGCACATTTCTTCAAGTTCACAAATTGCAGAAGCGCAACAGTAGCATGGCTTACCTGTCGATTTGATATATGTATCGTAGACAACACCACAATCGTGTGAAAGGGCTCTATGAGCCCCGAGCTGGACCAGAAGAGGGCACAATTTTCCTAACATTGCAGGCCTCTTTGGTCGGGACCAAAAATCGCCTTTAATCACTGAACTTCCCTGGTTCACGAACGACTATGAAATGCACGCGTTATGGTCGCATCGCTACCAACCAAATGAGCACTACTGGCCAACATGGCTCTTTTCCGACGAGAGGATGCTTTTGCTCTGGCGGTTCGCTCGTCGCCCCCAGCGCATGACGATCAGGGCGCTGGGAAGGCTTGATGACCTTGCACAGATTTTAAGTAGGTAAACAGAAAGTAAATATGTCACACAGGGTCACAGCTGACGACACACAGAGCACTGTGGGTACATTTCTACCAGGCGCGGAAGCTCGCTCAATGGGTTACAAAAGCGGCAGTTATCGATTTGACATTTTTCTTTTCTCACTCAAGTTGCTGAAAATATCTCACGGCACTTTATTCATTCATCCAAAACTGATCAAGATAACCTATGATTCAAACTATATCGCCAAAAGATACGTGATCAGTAACACTGGGAAGATAAAATACCACACGTAATTGTTCAAAGGCGATGTTTTTATTATGTAGTTGACACTTTGCCCTTGCCAAAACATTGCCATCGGCGAACCAACAAATTTAAATAACGCTTCACCAGCAGGAAGTGACAATCTCGTTGTCACAGGTCGTGTACAATGTAGCCAATCGCAGTGCAAAGCCATCAGCCTTACCTAGACCCTGTTCGGGAGCTAGGTCACGCAAGAACTCAGGCGTATACTTCCGGGACCATTCAGGTTAATCTATCAACGTTTGTTGGCTTTCTCTTTGAGTTGTTCCATGAGTGTTACGAGGTAGTCAATTTTATCTTGGGACAGCAAATTAAGTAGACTAAGTAAAAATGTGCGTGAACAACCAGAGAGCTGCTTCGGATTCAGAGCCTTTTAAAAACGCTATTCGTTCAGTTTGTGAGCTATTTAGTTAATTCGTGGACGAAATTGAATACAATCTGTTGAAACATTACAAACTGTGTTGTCCTGACTTTATGTTCAATATCGTGTATAGTGCATATATTTCTCTTTCTAGCTACCTGCCAAATGCCTATTCAATCAGGCATGTACTTCAGAAGATGTAGCGCTTTAAAGGGTGAACTTGTAAATGTCATATGACTCTTCACGTGGTGAAATCATCCTCACAATAAAGGCCCTAAGTGTTGTCCATTACATTCCCTTCCAACTATCTGCAAAGTTGCAACACAGTCTTTCGGATATAGTTCACTGCTCTGAAAGATGCACATTTACTGTCAAGTGACTTCACCTGAAGGTGTTATCCCATCATATTCCAATCTTTAGCTATTCCCTTTCTGTGTACCAGGTTTCAACACAGTTGGGCATGTTCTTCAGGAGGTAATAGGGCGTATGCGCTGTAAATATCATGTCACTCGTCTTTTGAAAGCTTTGAAAAGCAATTTTGGCTGAAGAGATGCATCGTAAAGAATGTCAGTAAGGAAAAGTGAAAAAAAAAAATTAGAACATCATTATGATATCACCAATTTTTTTTTAATGTAATACAAATCCGTTTGCATCATGTTACAGCTCTATGATTCATACCAACTTTAGCCTCGTTGGACTTGATATTCTTGAGATGTTGGTCTGCAAAGAATTCAACTCCGCAGTCATGTCATGTGATCTTAAATGACGTCATAGGACTCAGGGTTCCGAGACTGTTATAGCGGAAGGAGCGCAGATTAGAGATTGCAAAATTTTTCTCCTTTCGGCGTCCCATACAGTGTGATCAGCTTTCAGCGCCACGTGTTTGGAAATTTGCCAACTCCTGAGTACATGCCCTGCGCAATGTGCGCTGCCTATGTTACAGGCAGATATTGCGCACCCACGCACACGGTAGCCAGTGCCCAGTATGTGAATGGGATTTTCGAACACTGAATATTGTAATGGGATTTCTGTCGTCGGCACTCACGGACGTATATAAAAAAAACCTGGACTTGCACCCCC